GGACGGGGATTCGAACCCGCGACCCTCAGATTGCGAGTTGAGCGCCTTATCCACCTGGCCATGCCGGGCTGGAAGTGTAAGCAACAGGCTTTAGGATATTATTCCAAAAAGATGTCAGGAAAAAGAAAGTACTATAAGTGTAGAATGCATAGACGTATTCGAAACTGTGATGAACCAACCTTTAATACTATATTAATAAGACGATATTCTGAGTATGAGAATACTCCATCTTCCCCAGTTGAAATAAGGAGTGTGTTGCAACAGTTTCTATCGTTGGGTGGGTTATTATGGATTATTTAGTAAAAATAATACAAAGTCCAGTCCACTTAACGATAACAAATTAATTTATTTCTTCAATAATGTTCAAATAGGCTAACTTCAAAAACAAAATTTCAGTGGAAACTCCGAAACTAGTGTACACATTACTTACTTATAAACTTATTTGTAGAATTTTCTCGCTAATCGATCGACAACAAAGATTTTAAAGGACAAACTTACTAACTCAGTCACTGAGGAACAAACACACTAACTCTTATTGTCTAACTTACAAACAGGCATTGAACTGATTAACTAATTTTAATTCACTCAGTCTGACATTTTATGTTATATCTAGTTGTTTTTTTTATATACAACAAGAAGTTTCAAGATATTACGTCATGATAAAGTCTCTCTAACAACTGGCCACCGTCACATTATAACGCCCCCACGGCTGAAAGGGCGAGCATGTTTGGTGTGACGGGGATTCGAGCCCGCAGATTGCGAGTCGAGCGCCCTAACCACCTCAATCTCACTATTCGTTGGTAAAAGAGTAGCCCAAGAGTTGGCGGTGGGTGGTGATGACTAGCTGCCTTCCCTCAACTCTTACCCTAGTGTAGCTTTGCGCAAAGTTCCAAAACAAACAAACAAACCCTCTAGCAAACAAACATCTAAATTCTAATATTAAAAATACGTAGTTTAAAAGTGCATTATCTAAATAAACCAGTCCATGAGTCAACGTATGAAAGGAAAGTTTGTAACGTGTTGATTAACACTGGTTCTACAGTTATACCATTGTTTATCCCTAGCAAACTAACTTCCCAATAATAATACAACACATTTATCACTACTGCAGTGCTCCTCAGTAGAACACGTGCCGCTATCTAGCAGTCATTATTTTCCTCCGTAAGCCATTATCAATAAGTGCTGTTGTTAAATGCATAATGTCGTTTAATTCTCTATCACAGGATAAATTATACTGAAGTGTGTGTTGACAAACACAAAAGAGATCATGCTACAATGACACAATCATGTTCCCAAAGGCTTTATATTTCTAGAGTCCTCTTTTACATTATTCTAATCGGTTGTACGCCCTTTAGGGTGTTCGCGTCCCTCAAAACCTGGTTACTTATAAATAGCGATATCTTTTCGATATTTGTTGTGGTCTGGTTATCTATAAAGAACGTTATCCTTCAGATATTTGTTGTGGTCTGGTTATCTATAAAGAACGTTATCCTTCAGATATTTGTTGTGGTCTGGTACAATCTCAACCAGGTGAGCTCAGAGTTAAAAATCAAAAAGTTAAAGGATTTTACTGTTATCATCAGCATGAAAAAATATATATATTTTAATAATGTAATTGTATTTATTAGAAATCCTGTTCTTACGGCCCGGCATGGCCAGGTGGGTAAGATGCTCGACTCGTAATCTGCGGGTCGCGGGTTCGCGCCTCCATCCCACCAAACATGCTCGCCCTCTTAGCCGTGGGGGCGTTATAATGTGACGGTCAATCCCACTATTCGTTGATAAAAGAGTAGCCCAAGAGTTGGCGGTGGGTGGTGATGATCTTCCCTCTAGTCTTACACTGCTAAATTAGGGGATGGTTGGCGTCAGGAAGGGCATCCGGCCGTAAGAACCCTGCCAAAAACCGAAAATAGCGACCCCGTATAGATACGGGAAAAAGCTACAGAAGAAGAAGAAATCCTGTTCGTACGAACGCTGGCATTGTTCTGCATATCTCTATCATAACTTATTAGGATTAATGCATGTTTTGTCAAGTTAAGCGAAAGTAATTTAGGATAAGTAGAAACTGGATAAAAGATCAACTTAAAAAATGTGAGTTTTGTACCTCGACTACGTAATGACTACGTTAAAAATTAATCTTTACACTTGTGTATAATATTTTTTGATAGTTTTCTATGTTTTTTTTATCGTATACTTTGTTATTCTTGAACGTTTATGTGTCAGTGACAGAATAGATCTGTTTACTTCTGAAATTCATCCTATTTGCTTAGCTGTTGGGTAAGCCTCATTATTTACTAACATTTGATTACTTGTTGTTTGTTCTGAAATTCGGTTCATTTGTTTATTTCTTGAGTTTCCTCAGAATTTTGTAAAACAAGATTATTGTTTGATTATCTGAGAATTCCGGAAAGCTGTTTAGTAGTTGGTGCTTTACCTCCGATCTCTATAAATAGTGTATATACGCTTTGGTTTTTTTTTGTTCCGAACATATATATTTTGTACTCAATTTATCATTAATTTGGTATATTTTCTTTGTTTTTGAATTCTCTTAAAATGCTTACATGTATCTAAATTGAAAGTTATTTTCGGATATTGTTTTAAAGTCGTTTTGAAACCTGAAATTTCTAAAATTTCGCCCGAACCCCCTATTTTTGTGATGTAAAAAAAAAAAATTATGCTTATATAGTTATAGCGCAGTTTCATATGGGATTTAACGTTTTACTACATAGCCTACATGCTTCCAGATTTATTCTCTTAGCACTTACTTTTTCGTAACAATTTTCGGAGGGAGACATGCCCCCAGAACCCCGTAGCGTTAGCAGGCTTTGCATGCTGATTGGGCTTCGCACAATATGTGTTGGCTTTGATCTCACAAATTATAACCCGTGTTCAAACATTCTATGTACGGGCCTGATTTATGAATCAATTTTTTTCTAGATTTTTCTATTTCAAGGAGTGTTACTCAGTGGAGATAAATAAAAAGAATAAAACGATGATATCTGGCCCAATGAAACATAAGGCTTTCTTAGTTCGGTCAGCAAATGATACCACAGTCGCCATTCCTTTCAATCCAGATGCTATATTTTATTGAAATATCCTCTCGGGCAGTTTGTTTGTTTTTAATTATGCACAAAGCTACTCAAGGGCTATCTGTGCTCTGCCCACCACGGGTATCGAAACCCGGTTTTTAGCGTTGTAAGTCCGCAGACATACAGCTGTGCCACTGGGGGCGGCCAACTTTTAATATCAGGTCAATAATGTCGTTATGTCCCCACATATCGTAAATAACACAGGCTTTTAAGTGTGTATGCCTTTTTTTCGTGAAATGCCTTATCAATCTTTAACTCCAACTAGCCATGTTTGTTGGTGAATAAAGTGTTTTGATTATCCAGTTATAAAGAATAGTACAATCATTTCCTGGGAACCTTATCTCTATTCTTCGTTAGTTTGTTATAATATTCACTTGAAAAGCGTATGTTATATTATCTCGTGAGAAAGGTACTTTAGATTTTCAAGAACCATTTTCAATAATGAACTTTTTTACTTTAATATCATGATCGATGTATACTGGAAAATGTGCTCTATCAGTTGGGAACGGGTCATGTAAGATGATAATGACTGGTTTTAACTTTAGGGTTTTTTTTGGTTTTCAAAGTTTCGTTATTTTCTGTAGTTGCCTCATCATTAGTTGCTAATAACAACGACGTAACAGTTGTTAAAAGATGCAATGGTGTTTTGACTAAAGCAGGATAACACCGGTTGGTCTAGGTATAACTTTAAATATCTCTTGCCTTTTCTGGGGGGGAGGGCCACATTTGAGTACCACTCAAATACTTTCTTGCATCGCTAAAACAATTCTTTCCTCATATTTAAGGCACTCACAATCTAAACAGAAAAATGTACGTTGTAAACAAAATGGCTGCTGCACTTCTACCAGGCGATCCTGAAGCAATCCTGGGGGCCCAACGTGCATTGATTTCACCTCCCTCCCCATCATGGGGAGAAGGTCGCAGAAGTACTGGGTCTGTGCAAGCCTTCTAGACTACTATCTTTACCGTTTTTCCAAAATAGTGTTTACGTGGCCTATCTTATACTCCAGGGGGTGGGGCTAACAATATTCTGACAGTCTTCTCAGTACTAAACATTAATCTGTCCGTAGTCTATATTTATTTTACACACAGATCTGTTTTGAATTATGCAAATATGTTTTTCTTACCCGTCTTTCTATGTTTGTTTTTACACTTCTTAATAGTTGTACATTTTCCCTTTCATAATTCTAGAAATGAGCAGCTAGAAGTGAGAATAAAGTATTGCAATAAATTATATTTTGAATAATTGATAAAGCTTTGTGTTTTCTAATTTATCCACACGCTATAGCACAATGTGCCTTAAAAAAGACATTATGCAGAACTCATGAAATGTGTCTATAACTTTAAATCGTCTGCTTTTCCCCAAGCTTCGTTTAGTTCTTGACAAATTGCTGAATTTATTATTTTTTTCTAATTTTTTTATTTCACATAATTGGTGAGTTCTAACAATCATCTTACGTTTTTTTTTTTTTTGTAGAATACTACTATTGGTGAACAACATACACTAAAGTCGATACAATGAGTAGAAGCGTTACTCCCGTTCCCTCTTGTCGTTCTCTCTCTATTGGAGCTGGATACCCAGTTCAACGTTACCCTTCTTTCCAGAGCGACTTGCCGAAACTCGAGGCAGAGATCAAGACTGGTTCTGTAAGTTTTTCAGAATTCTGTCGACAGTTGTTCAATGGTTCCACCATCAACGGCGTCCAGCACGTTGCGGCAGCAGCGACATCTTTACGTAGGCTAGTGTGGAGTATTATCTCCGTCGTCTGTCTTGTTGGTTTCGTGTATCAAAGCATCCAGTTTCTACTCTTATACCTGGCCAAACCTACTGTAGTGGAGGTCAACGTGGTCATCGAACCTAATCGACCTTTCCCTGCAATTACTATATGTAACAAAAATAGGTAAAAAACTGCAACTCGAACAATATAGCTTCACAGAAAGAAATCTGGCTTGTGTAGAACAGTTAAAGTTCATTATGGCATTCCATATTCTTTTTTATTATTTGATAAACTCACTTAATATAATTGTGTGAATTATCAAGTTATTTTATATTTTGCTAGCTAATATACCCATTCAGTGTGTGTGGGGAAAACTTAGGGGCTCTCGGAGAGTGAAGTAACGGGTTATATCCAACGGCTGAACTCTCAAGTCACCCCCGGAAGCTCTAAGAGTGCATACTAAATTTGATTGAGATCAGTCAAAAAGCGGACATACAGACGACACTTCTGATATATATATTCCATTTGTTTGAGTGTGAATAATTAAACTGATAATTAGTCTTTTTCTTCTAATTATGCAGTTAAATAGTACTTATTTTCTAGCTTCACCGAGATAGATACTTTAACTATCTTTAAATTTGTTTCTAAAGTGTAGCTTAAATACAAAAGGTTATATATCAATTGATAGCGTAAATAACCAACCCTTGAACGCAGATTTTGGAAGACATTTCTTGTATATTTCGTGAAATATTTTCTATTATTGTTTAGAGATAACCTTGATATGATAACAAATAAAACTATTTTTGCTGTTAATTTTTCGCTTTAGTCTGTCCTAGGCTACTGACGTTTTGGTCTGTCCTAGCCTACTGATGTTTTGTTCTATCCTAGTTTACTGACGTTTTGGTCTGCCTAGCCTACTGATGTTTTGTTCTATCCTACTTTACTGACGTTTTGGTCTGTCCTAGCCTACTGATGTTTTGTTCTATCCTAGTTTACTGACATTTTGGTCTGTCCTAGCCTACTGATGTTTTTTTCTATCCTAGGCTACTGGCGTTTTGGTCTAGCCTAGTCTAATGGCGAGTAGTGATACAGCAAAACGGATTAAACTATAGAGAATTAGGCTTCATTATCTTTGTTTTTTTCTCTTTTCGGTCGTCAGACTGGTCCGGCATGGCCAGCTGGTTAGGGCACTCGACTCTCAATCTGTGGGTCGCGGGTTCGAATCCCCGTCACACCAAACATGCTCGCCATTTCAGCCGTGAGGGCGTTATAATGTAACGGTCAATCCCACTACTCTTTGGTAAAAAGAGTAGTTGATGACTAGTTGCCTTCCCTCTAGTCTTACACTGCTAAAGTGGTGATGGCTAGCGCAGATAGCCCTCGTGTAGCTTTGCGCGAAATCCACAACAAACAAACATTCGTCAGAAATTCACAAAGAATAAAAATGAGTTATTAAACCTATTTCTGTCAGGAAGAAGTGCTAAAAACAAAGTAATTTGACTTAGTAAGGAAAGGCAATTCTGTTTGTGTTTTGACATTTTCGGACATACTTGGAGAATCATTCTCTTTGATTCTTTATTTTTTCTGATATGCTTGGGTTTAACCCGGGATTTCCAGGAATTGTTGTACTGGGTCTTCGGGCATGTGAATTCGAGTGTCCAACGTTCACTTCCGTTGCCCATAAATACGCGTCCCGAACTTTGGGCCGTGGTGCATTACATGAATGAAGGCGAAATTCCACTATTATCAAACAAGGGAAGCCCAAGAGCTCGTGGTAGTGTTGTTAACTAGCCGCCATTCCCTTTAATCTATTAGTTCAAAATTAGGGGCGGCTAGGGCAGATAGCCCGATTTTTAGCCTTACGCAACTACCTGAAACAAACAAACTATAAATTTGGCCGAGCGCCGCATGTTGGTTAACGTGGAGAACTGTGAATCCCAGGACCCGTCGTTCCCACTTCATTACTGCTAAAAAAAAACTGCGTTTCACACTTTAGGGCCGTGGGTGTGTTATAAGAGTGACGGTCATACCCTGCTCTTCGATTAGATTAGCCCGCAAATTGGCATTGACCAGCTGCCTTCCCTCCCTCTAGTCTATCATTTAGAAATTAGAAACGACTAGTGCAGTTAAACCTCGAATAGCTTTGCTCAAAAATCAACGACAAAAATGATAAATTACTGTATATTTTAAAGAGTATAAATGTGGTTTAAAATACTTTTGCTGTTTGTTCTGTTTTTCTTTTCTCTATAAAATAAAACTAGTCTACATATTTTCAAAGTTTCTTCATATTTGCTGTTTATTTACAGGATCAGATGGTCAGCTCTGTGCGACTTGTACCCAGAGAAATGCGAGGCAATAAGAAAAAATAGGGAACAAGGGTACATAAATATAACGGTAAGATATTCTGATAAATTTTGAATAAAATTTCGCCTTTTCCGTCAGCTAAAACTTTGAATTTTAAATAAGCAAAATGTAACTGAATATTTTAATAACAATAATAGATATGATTAGTGGTTCGACGAAAAAAAATACTGGTTAACCATCACTAGTCCGGCAATCAGTAATCCGGTACAATTAGTAATCCGGCACTAATTTCGGCTAGAACAATTTCAAATACAGTAAAGCAAGATACGCGCTATTAGGTAAATACTTTAGTCTCGCTTGAAAGTTTTCTTTCCAATATTTTCTTTGATTAAAACTTAAAGAAAACCCCGTTTTATGGAATATTTTAATTTTAAGATGAGGTGGTTAGCTAGTGGGTTTGGTGTATTCTAACCTAATAGATGGCTAATCCGGCACCCTCCAGGTCCCGATGATGCCGGATTAGTGATAGTCAACCTGTACTAGAGGTTTAATACGGTTTGTTTGTTTGTTTTTGAATTTCGTGCAAAGCTACACGAGGGCTATCTGCGCTAGCCGTCCCTAATTTAGTAGTGTAAGACTGGAGGAAAGGCAGCTAGTCATCACCACCCACCGCCAACTCTTGGGCTACTCTTTTTACCAACGAATAGTTGGATTGACCGTCACATTATAACGCCCCCACGGCTGAAAGGGCGAGCATGTTTCGTGTGATGGGGATTCGAACCCGCAACCATCAGATTGCGAGTCGATTGCCCTAACCACCTGGGCATGCCGGGCCTGTTTAATAGGGAGACATACTACCATATATTACACAACGAAACTTGTAACGCATTTGGTGATAAAAGAACAAGGCAATATTCTTTTAACATTTTTTTAAAAATGTTATAGACATTTTTAAATACCCCAATATTTAAAGCAATTTCTAATTTATTAATTTATAAAAATACATTTCTGACCCCTTATTTCTTTTCTAGTAGAAAAATTGATAGATTGCCTTTAAAAATGTTTCTTCTCGGTTATTATATATCAATACATAATCCATGTTTTCACCTTTATAACAGTTTGGTATAAGTATTGTTTACCCACCCTACTTCAGTCATTGTCTAAATAAATGATCAGTGTATTAATTAACCAGATCTCACGTCTTCTCGTCAGACACAACTACTCAGTGTGTAATAAAAATAATTGTTTGTTTGTTTGTAATTAAGCATAAAGCTACACAATGGGCTATCTGTGCTCTGCCCACCATGGGTATCAAAACCCGAATTCTAGCGTTGTAAGTCCGCAGACATACCGCTGTGCCACTGGGGGCAATAAAAATATATCAGTATATTACCTCTTGGTTGTCAAGCCGTATCTTTTCAGGATATGGAATGGTGTATTAGGCAGATATTTGAAATTTTTAGTTGCGCTTGGAATTGATCACTTGGCGTCTTTTAATTAAATATATGCCTCAGTCTTTAAAAAGGCTTTCACTTTGGTCCATAGATGGCGCAAAGAAAATTTGTTGTCCAAATGCATAGTTTAATTATTATTATTTATACTTGCTCTCCTCTCTCGCGGCTTAACAGTAAAATTGAAGACTTATAACTTTAAAATTCGGGGTTTGATCCATGCAGTAGGAACAGCGCAGATAGTCCATTGTGCAGCTTAACGCTTAACCCAAAACAAGCTCATATACCATCATCAAAGAAAACAAATATAGTTCAAAAGCTTCAAACAATCAGACAAATAGTGGTTATGCAAGTATACCAAAGAACTCAAGGTTTAATCATGAGTTCAGGTTATCGTGACGTCAGGTATGAAATATTTTTCTGGCCAGAATAAGTTTCGAAATAAAGCTTACCAAAAGGAAAAATAAGTTACAAAGGTGCATATAACAGCTTAAAAAATACTATTATACAAAATAAGCGTACAATATAGTCAAATGGCCAAATTCAACTTTTTTTTTCAACTTACTGAACACTCACAAACAAAAATCATGCTATTACATAGAGTAAATCAACAAAATATAACACAGGCATACTCAATTATAGTGGCCTGGCGGTTCAGCGGAAAGTCTGAAAGCTTATAACGCTAAAAGGATTATTTGTTTGTTGTTAAGCACAAAGCTACACAATGGGCTATTTGTGCTATGCTCACCACGAGTATCAAAACCCGGATGTTAGCGGTTTGAGCCCTCAGACTTACCACTGAGCCACTGGGGGCAAATGCTGAAAGTTAGTTTTCTATACTCTCGGTGGGAAAAGTACAATCAACCCGTTGTGCAGCTAAGCGTTTAACAAGAAACTAACTAAATTATAGATTTTTAAGCTCTTTTAATGTCTTTTCTAAAATTGTGTTAAAAGTAACCAGCATTCAATAATACTTTCCTGTTTTGTTTTGTTGTTATTTTCATTCAGGTTTTATAAATTGAAAAATCTTATTTTATATTTCTGATATAAGTTTTATGGACGAACGGTTTTTATTCTCTAGTTTTATAAAGTCAAATGAGTTGTCAAGTCAGTTTTATCAAAAACTGAATGTTTAAGTTGTTAGATGAACCTCCCAATCAGTTTCTTTTCCCATTTATTAGCGACACAGTGGTATATCTGCGGACTTATACTGCTAGAAACCGAGTTTCGATACCCGTGGTGGGCAGAGCACAGATAACCCTTTGTGTAGCTTTGTGCTTAATAACAAAGAAACAAATCCTATTTAATAATAGCGTTTAGTAAATTTTTGTCTGTCTGGATAAACTCATGCGTAGAACAAATCTCTAGAAAATTTTAAGTTTGTTTGTAGTTAAGCCAGATTCTAGCGTTAGTCCGCAGACATACCGCTGTGCCAGTGGGGGTCAATTGTTTTTTTTTTAAGTAACTAAAATATTTTATTACGCTGATCCTTCCGTGCTCAAGAAATATCAATATGACGTGATTCAAATCTTTAATCTCCGGTGGGAAGGCGGTAAGTTTACGGACTTACAACGCAAAATCCGGGGGTCAATTACTCGCAGTGGATATAGCAGATAGCCCTATGTGGTTTTGCTCTAAAACAAACCATAAACAATATTCCTGAAATAATTAAATGTCAATGAACGATCATAATAATCTAAATGCTACAACCGGTTTATCTTTTGGAAGGAACTGATATGATAAACCAATTTTTATTGAGCATTAATATTAACTTCCAATTTAAAGCCAGCTACTTACTTCGATCGAAACTATAAAAAAACACGGCAATAAGTTTAGCTAATTAAGTATACTGCTCTTAAAGCTATATTTATAAAGATTAGACTGCACTGCTTCATTAATTGGAAATCCTTTCTGTAAGTGACACTTTAGGCCATAAACCTAACAATATCTCACTAGCTTGGGATATTTGGGTTTGTCTTAAATATGTATTAAGCTAAAAATGCCAAATAGCTTCAATAATAAAAATTAAAAAACAATCAAATAGATATATTAAACGTTCTTGCCAATACTATTAGTGAAAGTAACAAGAAAATGATAGAATATACTTTCTTTACGGTACATATAAACACTGGTTGTTTGATTCATGTACTGCCATAAATTTGTAGAATATACTTTCTTTACGGTACATATAAACACTGGTTGTTTGCTTCATGTACTGCCATAAATTTGTAGAATATACTTTCTTTACGGTACATATAAACACTGGTTGTTTGCTTCATGTACTGCCATAAATTTTAATTTTATTATTTGGTTCCTATTCATTGTGTCAAAATATTTTCAGTTCCTATAGATGCTTCTTTTAAGGACCAAGTAATCTTAGGCAATTTTATTTTAAGAAAGATTGAGATATAAGTGAGTCTCAAAAGCAGCTTTTAAGGCTTAAAGTTTACAAGTATGTTTGTCCACTGAAGTGTTCTTGTTTAAAGTCCCACGAGAATAATCGATACTGTTTTTCACTTTAGATTAGTTGCCCACAACACCATGGTAGTTTTTATTTGCACCCAGCTAGTTGAACCCAGAATATGGAAAAATATTGTCTTGGAAAGCTAGTTAGGATAGTGAAAAGGGCGACTTCGCTTCCATTCGAAAAATGTATATCTGTAAATATCAACGTTTGTATTGCTAATTATATTTTAATGTCGATATTAATCTAGTAATTGGAGATGAAACTTTTTTCCTCTTTGCATCTTGTTTCATATTTCCATCTTTTACATTCGAATGTTCTTCTTAGGAATTGGCTACTCTAACCTACTGGAGTTATGCTTTAAATATTAGTGAGCGTGCTTCTCTTGGTCATCAGGAATGGCCCTTAATAACGCTCTGTCGTGGACAATATATGGATAACTGTAGGTAAGAACCTCAATTTCTTTAAGCTTTTTCTCTTTCTAATTATAATTGTCCCAATATCTTAGTTATGACGTAGATAGTCACCAGAAATGTTCAGCATTAATAAGAAATAAAAGCCTATAACAAGTAGTAAGTGAAAATGTCTAACCTGTATCAAATATCTTGGTGAAAATTTAAACATATCACAGATAAAGTACTGTACTGAGAGATATATCTGTGTGTTTTTATAAGTTCAGTTGTTTTTACTCACTGATTCATCGGCAGTAATAAAATAATGTTTATCAAGAACATAAGTCCGCACTGATAAAAGCTATTTTGTTTTATTTTATTCTTTTCCAAAGCGATCCAGTTTTCTTTTATCAATATCTCTTTTCAAATTGCTACACTTTTGAGCAACCTCTCAAATTGGACAACTGGAAGAATGTCTGGATCACACAAGGTAAGCTTATAGAATATGTTTACATCCAAAGCTGAGACTAGTTATGTAGTATGCGAACACATTAGATGTTCTTTGCTCTTTACTTCAGAATGGTGAACATTCCACGTTCACCTAATACTTTCGAAATGTTCACGCATAAGTGAGAACATAGATTTAACAATAGCGAGCTGGTTATGGAATGTGGCTAAACTGCTGTAGTCCAAGTTACACATTATCGTGGGTCATTCTTCTTTGGTTTCACTAAATTTTCCCACGGAAAAAGTTGTTGTAGAACTGGAAACGTTTTCTCTGCTACATGCTGTCTTTAACAAGGTTGACCGCATAAAGGTTTAGAGTCCCAATGAGACTGTATCCCCCTCTGTTTTTTTATGAGGGTGACCATGAATGACGTGAGCGACCCATGTGCTTTGTGAGAGGTAATCCTATTGTTGTTTTTTTTATTCAGTGGTTTAACTCCCCCTAGTGTCGAACAGGTTTACCTTCAGATTCTTTATTGGTAAAGAACTGTCTCCAATCTCCAGAGAGAAGCACTGTCTTTCGTCCAGTGTACACTTGCTTGGTTTATTGAAACTGTTTGTTTGTGTCCCACTGCTGAATTTGTGACCAGTCTCTTCCTTCATTTCGGTCAGGTAGGAAACTCAATTATACCTTCGTGATATATTTTCTACTATTATCAAGTTACTACAATTGTTACTTTCCTCAGTATACCAGAGAATACCGGAGTTAGAAGTCTGAGATACTCTAATTTTTAAATATTTATGTAATAAAACACAACTCAAAAGCTAACTTTAGAAAAAAAATTACAAAATGTTTTCACTGAGGTAATGAACGACCTAAAAACGTTAATTTATGCTAAGTTTGGTTAATTTCTTATTCTTGATAGTGGTAACAATGATTCTAAATTTTGAGACTGAAGATTTTATGGAGGTGTTGAGACAGCCTGGAGGGTTCTTATTCATTCATCCTCGGGACTCCTTACCGGACTTTCGAAGAGACTATGTGGAGGTCAACCCTGGTTCCAAGGTGGACATTAAGTTACAAAAGGTATGGTAAAATTATTCCAAAGTGGATATCAACTTAAAGAAGCGAGGTCATGGCTGGCTCCAGTGTGAACATACAGAAGGTAAATTAATGTCGTCGCAAAATTATTTAATTTTTAAATACAAAGGGAGCACTAAAAGAGATGAATCAGTTACTACTGCAAAAAGAATCATCGAGTAGATGAGGATGGATAAACTCTAGATCTCATATGAGTAAAAATATAGTAAGACAACTATTATCTTGTAAAAGTCAAGTTATAGCTGGAATGAATTTTGACATCTACAAAGGTTCTATGATCGTAAAAACAAATAGAAGTATTATTATTTTTTATGTGAAACGTATTACTAACAGTGTCTAATTTATTTATTTAAAATTTTAAACACGAGTACCTTTGCCCATTGTGATTTAATTTCTCATATACATGTGTGTGTGTGTGAACAGCTATATATTATTTTTGGCTCTATGAACTTACTTAATATCACGTCCCTATACAACAGACTGCAGCTTACCTAATATTACAGATTTATGTAATAAACTCCAGCTTATCTACTATCACATCCTTATATAATAGGCTCCATCTTGCCTAATATCACGTACCTATACAATAGACACCATATTACCCAATATCACGTCGCTATACAATAGGCTCCATCTTACCCAATATCACGTCGCTATACAATAGGCTCCATCTTACCCAATATCACGTCGCTATACAATAGGCTCCATCTTATCTAATATCTTGTCCTTATTTAATAGAATTCAGCTTATCTAATATTACAGATTTATGTAATAAACTCCGGCTTATCTACTATCGCATCCTTATATAATAGGCTCCATCTTGCCTAATATCACGTCCCTATACAATAGACACCATCTTACCTAATATCACGTACCTATACAATAGGCTCCATCTTACCCAATATCACATCGCTATACAATAGTCTCCATCTTATCTAATATCTCGTCCTTATTTAATAGAATTCAGCTTATCTAATATCAAGTCCCTATATAATAGACTCCAGCTTACCTGATATCACGTCCCTATATGATAAACTCCAGTTTACCTAATATCACGTTCTTATATAAAAAAACTCCAGCTTATCTAATACCACATCTCTTTTATAATAAACTGGAGTTTATTATATCACGCCTCCCGGTATCTCTGTGGTAAGTCTGAGGATTTATAACGCTAAAATAAGATTTCGATACCAGCAGGGCACAGCACAGACAGCCCATTGTGCAGCTTTGCATTAAGAAATTAACAATAACAACGATTCTACGACAATATTTCAAAAAAATCCATACTGTAAAATGACATTTTATTGCCATGTGCCTCAAAACTCACGTAAACAACAAAGATTTCAAATTGTGCTTCCATATTTAAAGTTTTGGCAATGATTGATTATGTATATTTAAAACACTGAGCGAAAGATTATAAAATACACCTGGTAGTCTTATGAAGAGCACTCCATGATAATTGTCTCTTCGCCGGCACACCACTTTGAATAATTAGTGATATTTCTTTTATTACATAAACAGTATAATGAAGCTACTGCCACTTGTGTTCAGTCTACTGTAAGGAAACCTGGATCATATTAATTACTTCGCCTTTTGTGGCAAAGCCATATAAACTTCAGAAGTCTTGTATGTTGATTGAAAATAGTATAAACCAGAGAGAGCACAATTCCTTAAATTTTCCCATAGAATCTTAAAAAATCATACTGATTTTTCAAGCAAAATTGGACTAAATTGTCTTATGAAATATTGATCAGCCATCGATTTTTTTTCAGAGATCAACTATCCTGAAGGACTCTCCTATTACGAAGTGTACTGACTATGGGAGTGTACTGTCACGCTGGTACCCGAACAAAAAAATGAACCCAAGGGTAAAACTTTTGCGATAATAACTAGGATTAGCTTTTGTAAAATATTGTTACGTATTTGCTTGTTTGATCATTTCCGGTAGAAATTCTTTCCGAGGGACTTCAGTGATCAAGTCCTTTCTTGATTAAACCAGTTTATTCTTTCTCGATACAACTTTTTGGAATACACAGAATTTCCACAGTCACTTTAAACTTAACAACCTTTATAACACACGCTATAAATCACAGTGATTCACTTACGGTGCCTACTGTTCGCTCGACTCAATTATCTATCTGCCGCTGGCTTTCTTTGCCAGACTTATATATATATATACTAAAAAAGAGGGCATCTAGATCACACTCGAGCTGGCGGGCAAATTCATGATTCTTCGAGAAACTCCTGCGCGCATGCTCCTAGCGTCGCTTGACTTCCGCTGTCGAAACAATATATTCATGAGATAAAATCCTATTTAACTAACTGAAAAAAAGATGTTATAAAATAATAAAATGATTGTTGGAATTTCTCAAGAACACAAATTATTTTCCCCATACATAGATTTTTGTGAACTAGAGCACAATTAATTGGTATAGCAATATAAACACACGTGTATTTTCTTTTCTAACAACACAAATTACTGGCGCATTGAATTTCAAAACTGTATTTATCTAGATATATTATTGTATTGTGACGTTGCTTATTTGTTATGTGTATGTAGATTGAAAAATTGTGCGTCAGTCAACATATATCCCCGTGTTATGGATGTTTTGTTTGTCAAAATGGTTAAATATACACATTTCTAATATTTACATAGATACTGGACTAAAACCTATTTACCTATTTTAATAATTTACATACAGAATATATGTAACCATTTTATTCTGATAAGAGACCTAAGTACCGCTCACCACTAAATCTAGTAATCTATGGCCACCTACTACTGGGCAAACCGATAGCTAGATATAGTGTTAATTTTATTTTAAAAGGATTTACTTATGTGAAAATATGATTAGTGCTATGCGTCTTCAATTGATATTTATGGAACTGTTTATTTGAACAAAACTTTATGCTGACAATGAATAAAAAAAAGAGAGAAGTTTATATCAGAAAAATCAACGTACTACATTCATGGACATGGCCTGAAAAGGGTCACTCGCGTGTGCGAATGAACTATTGCTACGCACATACAGTGACTACATGATGTAAAAACGGGTTTTCCTAGCTACCGGACCGTATTCTACTGAAAAATTAATGTGGGCTTCACCCAACGCTCAAGAACCAAATCAATAGTCAAAGAAGAAGGGAGGTAGAGGTCCAGGTGTACCTGATCCTCCCAAGTCACATGGCCAAACAACGACCAAATGAAACCAAAACCTGAATCTATAGATATTGTGTATATGCCACGCCCCCCCCCCCCCCCGATTTAGAGAACCTAACTAAAAGCTTATTGCACAATTCCCCCAATGGCGGACTTATAACGCTAGAAACCGGGTTTCGATACCCGTGGTGGGCAGACAACAGATAGCCCATTTTGTAGCTTCGCACTTAACTTCAAAACAACAACAACATTATTACATAATTGAACCTATTGATTATTGAAGATATATTCTAATTACTTCGCAAGTTACATGTCGGCATTACAATTAGTTTTTGATAATCGAACACGTTTGCCTTAAGTTTTATGTAGTTGGCAGCTTTGGTCCCACGACTCTAAATTTTTAAGTTGACCATGAGATATAAAACAGGTTTTTCACAAGTTGACGGCTTAGATGACTATCAATCTTAATAAAGAAAGTTGTAAGTTTATTAGAATCTTCTGTCAGTCATTTATTCGAATTATCAGTTACTGAATGTCCTAAAAAATGCTGTTTGTGTGTTTGTTACAGCAATGTTCTCAGGAATGTCTTGCTGAAGCTGTCGAGCATCACTGTGGCTGTGCACACTTTACCAGCATATATCCGATCGTCAGGCGATGTGATGAAGTCAACGATACTGAATGTAAGTGTGACGACATTAAAGTCTCGGTGTAGCCTTTGTTGATGTTTTGGTCTTGCTTCAATTAAGCTCCCCCCCCCCATCCCCCCAATGGCACAGCGGTATGTCTACGGACATACAACGCTAGAAACAGGGTTTCGATACCCATGGTGGGAAGAGTACAGATAGCCCATTGTATAGCTTTGTGCTTAACTTTAAACAACAACAATTAAGCTCTTAATTCAATATTTTTGCCTAAATATGACAGTGGGTTTGAAGAAAAATCTAAAAACCTAGAATTATTTTAATTTTTCTTCTTGTAAAAATAAAATTTTGAAAAGTATTTTAAAATAGTGTTAGAATTGCAAAATATTTAAAATGTTTAAATTTCTTAATTTATTGGCTACAGAAAGTCACTTGTTGCACTTTTTGGAAACGGCGATATAGGATCTTTCTAAGATATCAGACACATTCGGAGAGAGCCATGTCAATGCCCAGTTTTAGCTGTTGTTGGTTTTTTGTATGTGTATGTTGCTTTCTGTAGACTGGATCATGTCCTAGGTCTATGATTTCCAAGTACTCGCTTAAAACTCTTTCAGCACGGCTCGGTCCCTGGGACCGACCTCGTAACCATTTTGTGGTTGTTATAGTTTTCATGCTATAACTTTTAAATCAGTAAGCGAATGTTAACGAAATTTGGCAAATTATCGGTGAACATTACAATGCTTTCAAACGCAAAATATCAAATGTTATTGAAGTCTTAAGGTTTGTAAAGCAATGTTTTTCTCATGCCTTTTTTTTTCTTTTCGCATGTTGCCTATCTAATATGCAAAGTAATTTTCATTTTAAGATTAAAAATACTTTTATGCATCAAAAAATTTTCAAATTTCACATGCAAAATTTTTATACTGTCCAGATAGTTATCAAATGTTTGTTAAGAAAAAACTTTATATTTTATCTGTTATTTTCAGTAATGAATCTAGGTACGGGTTCGGTAGATTTGACCGATCTCGTAACCACCATAAAAAATTAGGAAATAAATATAAATTATGCCTCTTTCATTCTAAAATGACAACAAATTATAACATGAAAACTTAAATGTTTAGACTAAATAGCTTAAATCTCATAACATTATACATTTATATATATTTATCATTTTTATTATATTGACCTTTTAGCCATGCCTGGGTAACAATACAGAAGTTTCAATGACGCGGCACACGTGCACTCCAATAACATAAATCTGACCTTTGGTCTTTACAAAGTAACCTGTCTTGGCTGTGTTTTAGTAGACTAGTACTTTGTAAAATAAGGTCACATTTCAATTATTATACATCATATATGTATATAGATTATTACTATTTTAAAAGAAGTTCTTAAACTTATTTTTCTTAAACATACAACAGGAAATAAAGAAGCAAAGCAAACAATTATCTCTTCTAGTTACGGTTTTTGGACTCGGTTACTGCTTGACGTAAGTTGCTAAGCCTTTAAAAAATTTGCACGTGGAGGATATGAAACAAAATATATTTTTTAGGTTTTATATATACTTTTGAATAACTAAAAAATCATAAATTACTATGTCAATACCATATAATTCCACTATAATTTATCAAGCTTAGTAACTAAGCTGTATTTTAGTGTAAAAAATATGAAATTTCGAGCATACTAAAAACACAACCTACTTCCTTGAAATCTTGGTTCAAAAGAAAGAAATGGCATCCTAAGAATTTAAAATGGCAAAGAAAGCCACTAGGGGACATTCTGAGCTTTCGGTCATATATATAGAAGTAAGTGTATATAAGGGAACGTTTCCAAAAATGGAAAGAGGTGGGCGAGGTGCCACTGTGTTTGACTTATTACATGAGCAATATCTTAACAAATATGAAAGATGAGGCGTTCTTATTTTATATTATAGCTTGTCAATGTCGGTAATTCGAGTTACTAATTCGTATGAAACTATAGTCTTAGTATTTTGACATCACTTTACTGTGCACAGGGGCGGATTGTCTACCGGGACACCAGGCTACTGCTTGGTGAGCCGGTGCATTTGACGTATTCTTAGAAATTGAGTTTAAATTTTAATTGTTTAGGCAGTATGCAGCATGTAATATTGCTTGGGATGGTACTTTAATGGCAATCCGCCTCTGGATGTCTTCAGAAAGTATAACCAGCCACTGATAAAGTTTTAAAAGCATTTTACAAACCTTATCAGCCTGTGTTATCATGCTAACGTAGTCTAAACAAAAATCATTCCAACTTATGCAGGAAAGCGTGAGCTAATTTTTATTCCTTTCTCTATTCCTTTACTCTATGCACACAATGAAGAGCTAGTTAATTTGTATTCCAATCCACAATCTGTAAACGATGCTTTTCATTTTTATATTTGATACTCTACACTCGTAGGGATACTTTTAAAAAATATTCCATTCTAGAATACTGATTACTCAGTTTTGTAAGTAACCTGTAACGTAATTCGATACATTACTCCAAGTCAATAACGTAATCAGATTACTTTTGGAATACAATTTTTCATACTCAAAAACAGCAGCAGTCGAGTTCAAGAAATAAAGCAAAATGTAAGTGTCTTCCATTTATTATGTACTACAAGTTCCAGTGTACAAGACTGAGTGACGTTAATGATATTTATTCATAGTACATAATTATATGCTAATTAAGATATACATTAGTTTTATTTTAAACATCTTTCCCCTGCATTCAAGTTAGCCAAACTTGAGAGTATGTATTTTAAACAAGATAAAATGAATTTTGATTTTCTAAAATTTTAAGTTTAACTGGAAAACATTCAAAGAGAGCTTAATTAAACAATCCCGTTTTTTACCAGAAATTAGGTTATCCTTTCAAAATAAGTCAGACGTACATACGTTACAAAAAATCTGTTAGGGGTCTTCCTCTGAATTAAATTCACAGAAAACTAAATTAAACATTTGTCTCTTCCCGAAACGAGGCCTTCCTTTCTATATAAGTCAGAATCATACAGTACAAAAATATCAGTTTAGTTTCTTCAGCTGAATTAAATTAATAGATACTACATTTAACACATCTTCCTGATATTAGGTTGTCCTTTCTAAATTGGTCAGAACCATACAAAACATTGTACTTGAGATTACTTCAGTTGAATTACTTTCACAGACAACTGAAATTAGTTTATATTCCAAATATACCCTAACTTAACATTACACACTTACTTACTTACACTATTTTATATATAACAGCTTCACATTACAGTGTATTTACTGTTATCACATTTTAGTTTTCAAATCAAGCATCGTTTAATGGTAAAGGGCACACATAACATTTGTATTTCAATAGACGGACTTGCTCAAAATGCTCATTGGTCATGCGATTGCGCTGTGGTATTAGAATGTGTCCGTCATGACTAAACAGGCGTTCTACAGGAGCATTTGATGACAAAATGGTATTCTAATTCATGAGTAAGTGTTTCACTACTGGATACTTTATGAGGGAAACAATAATCTTGTCTGAGTCAAGTGGGTGCCTTTTCACTTCCTCTTCTGCACTGGAGTTGATTTCAGTTTGGGTTCTCCTCCCTTTCTTCTGAATCATTTGTGATCTTGGCGTCAAATAGCACTTCATCAGGACGCCACCCTTCCTCGAGAACTGCATTTTCACCAACATTATCTTCATCTCTTCTCTCTGCTCAGGGAAAGAACCATCACAGATGGAATTTAGGAATGGCGTCACTTGCCTATTTAGCTTCTCAACTGTTCATTAACTTTTCCAAACAACATTCAATTGATTTGATGATTGCGTCAATAAGGTGTGCTTGGAAGCGTACATGAAACTTTTTTTTTCAGACAGCTTAGTCTTCGGACTGAGAAGTTTTGGTATTATGTAGCCAAGAAAGCATTTCTTCTCTTCCTGAAGAAGGTCTCGAGTGGCTGAAGTACTTCTGTGTACTCTTGCAAGAACGTAATTTTGTGGGCCTGCAATCTTGCTACACCCAGGCGTTCACATACTTCCAGCAACTGCAATTATGTTAAAGATATGATCTTCTGGATAGCATGGTATTTAGAATCCTACATTGTGACATTTGGGACAACTACTTTCATATTAACAATGTCTTGCTCAGCTTCTGCAGCCAGTGAGGACCTGTGGGCTTTATCCCATATAACTGCACATCTTGCCATTACATTTCTGTACAGCGTAGATGTTAATCCACTAAACACTACTTGGTCAACATCCTTTGAAGAAATGAGGTTTAAAATGAGAGCAGTACAGCGTTGTTGTGGAAGGAACAGGAAATGGAGTTACTGAATTTCACTCTCAAGAATTTCATTCACATTTTCGAATGCTGCGTCACTTCCATGCTCATCTGTTTCCTTTTCTTCCATTTGAGCAAGCTCTCTGAACGCCTTCACAAAGTTGCTTCTATTGTCGGTTACTGTGCATCGTACTTTGTTTTGAATATTGAATGCTGAATGGATTTCATTTAGCTTTGCAGCGATCACATCATATGTGGATCGACCTATTAGTCAAGCACAGGTCAGGGTTACTACTTTTCGCTCCATGACAGGTGAACTCAAAGTACCTTCTATTGTGAGCTGTCCAGATGTCTGCTGTAGTGTACACGACTTTGATGTTTGTTTAGTCTTGTGGTTAACGTTTCTTTCATGGACTAAAATGCCTTTTCAATCCTTTTTATTGGAGTTTTTCAGCACATGAGGGGCTTACGAGGCTGAAGTCCTTCAGTGAGCTAAAGAAAGGAAGGCTGTTCTAACAGTAAAAAAGCTTGAACATTTTCCATAATGAAGTTAAACATCATTGCATTCACCTTTTTTTTTTGGGGGGGGGGAGGTTGCTGAGATTTAGTTTTGAAGCTTTGCTTGCTATGGGATGAATTCCCTGAAACAATTATAATAATTAAACAATTACTTTGTCCCCCTGAAGAAGAAAGGTCCACCTTTCGAATACGCTCGGGTTATAGAAATTTTATTGTTTTATATTAAGACTTCTTGAACCTACGTGTTTTCTGAAATCTTAAACAATTACTTAACAGTTGTAACACAAGGGGTTATGTGAGTTTGAACATTAGAACTCATTTAATAAGCATGTGCTGGAAAATAATTAGAATCATTCTGAAAGTTGTGATTAGGGAAGTGACATTTGTTAATAAATGTATCAGATATTAATTCTAGTTCATGTTGCAGATACTGCTACGGCATATGTTAAATGCTGGGTTGTAAATGCATGATAACCTGCCAAATTTTTGTTGAGTTGAGTAAGCTGAATGTAATTCTTACTTGATGTTCTTTTGTTGAATGCAACTCTTATCTGATAATGATTCGATACTATGGAGCGAAACGTTGTAATTATTAAAATCAGAACTTGTCTGCTGTAAAAGTTGCTGTTTTCTTTTTCAAATCGCAGTACCCGGATGCAAAGTATGAAAAACATTTCTTCATATGGGTTTAAATAAGACACCTGAACGCGAGAACAACAACAACAAACTATTTATGGCTTATACAATGATTTAAAATCATACTTAAACCGATGTCTCATCTTCTACATACTGCTTGAAATTACATTAACAGCAGAGTCTCATTCTCCACATATTTGAAATCATACTTACTGTTATGTCTCAGCCTTCACATACTGTATGAAGTCACGCATACTGTGGTATTCTGTCTCCTGGTCACGCATTTATTAAAATTTGATGAATTAGTGCTATCACATAGTATATGTATCCTATATCCCCAGGCCTACGTGTAAATCTTAACGTTTAACATGTAGAATATTTTGATCTCATTTTAAGAGTCAGTAATATATCAGTGCGGTTTAGAAATGTTTTAACTTTCAAAATATAACACTTAACAGCCTAGCATCATGTGATAATACTGAGAAACGTATAAAGTACGAACTTGTCTAATTTCAGCACAAAATTTATCTAGAATGCTGGCGAGATTTGAGACGTTTGTAAATTAGGCCTAAATGAATTTGTGTGTTTTCACTGTGCTGCAGAAAATTATCTTCAAAGTTTTGCTGGCTAAACGACCCTGCAGCTCTTCGTCTGTGAGTATTACAATCTTACTCCAAAGATATATACACGTTTATCTTAAGAGTTTGAGCAAATTGTTTGTAATTGGGACTAAATGGATCAGTTTATTTTCACTGTGCTACAAAAAATTGTCGTCTGCAATGTTCTGTTACGTCGTAACGCACATATGGCAGCGGCCTTGACAACCGGATAACGTTAATTTAATACATAAAAGTGTAATCATTCTGTGTTGACTCAGTTCGGTCTAACGGGAACATGTACATACACACACTTATATTTGATTTGGGTTGATGATAGCTATGTTTTTGTACACTGAATATACCTTAAGAATTTTGTATTCTTTACTAAGAAGCGCTTGGCTATGAACATGTTTCAGATGGTTGCATCTTCGAGGCAGAAAAGATCCACGTAGATGATTGTTTGGACTCCTGTGCTCCACCTTGTGAGTAAGTACTTAGTACTAATTTAGACATTTATAACGCTCTTACTTTAGAGATTTATAAAGCATTGTTGCCCGATGAAGGGCTGAAAGCTCGCAATAAAAGTATTTTAACGTAGAGAAAAGTCCGTTTATAATTCTACATGTTAATTTACCTATGTTATGAGTCTTAAACAACAATTATTTATAACGCTCTTACTTCTTCGGTATAAAGAACAACGTTTCGTCCATTTTTCTATTAGTGTGTTTTCAAAGTATATGATATATATATATATTGTTCTTTTTTAGGAAAGAATATTATGAACTACAGATGTCATATTTTCAATGGCCCACTAGATTAGAGGTGAGAGAAATATATTTCTATTGAAATTTATAGCCTAACTTAGAGCAGTGTTGCACAAACTTCTTTATACGTTTTGTTGCGCACCTCCCCCTCCCCCCGCACAACCTATTTGTGTATATACTGTGGATGTAATTTTCTAATATTAATTGTTGTTACTATATTACTTAACAGATGTATTATTTGAGGGTAGTTTTAAAATATCTTTATATTTAAGTTTTTCATTTCAGATATAACTTGTATGCTCCTACAGTCATAGCTGCGCCAACCCTTCCGACTTTCCACGCCCCCTTGGGGACGACCCACAATTTGCGCATCACGGTCTTAGAATATCAAATTTTACTTTCTATCAGGAATTTGCAGTTTTTACTTCCTGGCTGTAATATTTATTTATATTGATCATCTTGTACACATATATTTAAATGAGAACAGTTTTTTTTACCTTTAAAAAGGTTGTAATTGGTATTGATTATTTGAGAATTACCCCCCCCCCCCCCAGTGGCTTAGTGATAAGTCTGCGGACTTATAACGCTGAAAATTGGGTTTCGATACCCGTGTTTGGCACAGCATAGAGAGCCCATTGTGTAGCTTTGTCCTCTAAACAAAGTTTAAACCTAAAATTACCGATATGATTCAAATATATCCATTTAGCTTTTGAAATGTATTTTCTAAAATATCTAAACAAAAATACTATCAGTATTAGTCCCGCTAATTACTGCTGGAGCCCCTTAAGTATTTTATAGAGAAGGTAAATAATTTCCCCCTTTTATTTTGTACAGTGCAAAAATAACTCGGTAATTTGAAGCTTAATCTGCTTCATTATCAGATTATGTTTAATGGAGATATTATGCAAAAAAATAAAAATAAAGAAACTCATTACGCATTTCGATTTGTATATTGGACATGACTTTAGTATTTTAATGTCCTTAAGTATGGTAATATTATTGGTGTGGTAACATTTGGTCTTTGTTTATCTTTTTTTAGGAACTTCGACGTCTTCTACCAAATGACTTGAAAAATATGACCTTGGAATTTGCCCAGTAACTATATTTCTTGGGTTTGTTTATACTTGTAACAACAACATGTTTATAATTTATATAACAGAGTTTGGAAATAGGATTAAAAAATTGAGAAGAAGCTGTAAAATTTTGTAAACATAATTAATCTAATCGAGTTCACAAATAATCAAACTTATATCAAAAGCTTAGGATGAGATGTCGTGAATAGAAATATATAACTTTACCGAAGAGACAATGCATGGACTGATTTTATAGAATGGCATTATGCTCTCGGATATAAACCCTTGAAACGCCTGGAATGAAAAATTGTGAATGATACTACTCGTATCACACACAAACTAAACCCATCTTAATGAAAAAGTGTGAATGATACTACTCGTTTCACACCCAAATGAAAGAAGAATTTTTTTTTCACCATTTCAACTCGCCAGCCCTCTAGTAGCTAGTAGATATTAAGTGGGCAATAACATTCCACAATATTAAACGAATTCTCAATTAGTTACCGAGTTTTTCACTAAATTGCAGAAATCTTAAACAATTGGTACCAATAGTTTATCTAGACTTTCAGAGTAATGCTTAGATCGAGAAAGTAAAATTGGAGATCTCGTTGTTTTTTTTTTGTTTTTTTATCCCTGAAGATCGACTAAACACTGCAGCTAAAGGAAGGTTTCAACATTTAACACATAAAGCTTAGTGAAGCCTTCCCATTTTAATGTATTTTCTCTTAAGTAGGTGGGAACTCAAACAAGATTCAAATAATTGATTAACCACTACTTAACAGGAAACAACTTGCGGAAGTGACAGTCAGTTTTCCTGGAAATGAACATATCATTCACAAACATCAACCAAAGTTTGAGGTAAGAAAAACTTTAAAACACAACTTCTGTACACGAGCAGTTGACGACAAATTAAATAATATTGGTATCTTGATCTATTAATACTAATTCTTTGTTCATAACGCTTGTAGATCTGCCGATGTTAGTGATGAAAAAATGAAATATGGCACACTGGTATTCTAATATAAATAATGAAATTTAAATATGGTGTATTGTGAAGTTTATCATTTCTGGTTGTTTTCAAAATGGCGTCTGATCTGATTTTCATGCACATTTCCAGGAACAATCGTTATTCTCAAAATAATGATCGTAATTGAAAGAAATAAGCGATAAAGTTGTTAATTAAATGGTACATATTAATTATATGATCAGATACATAATAATGAATCACACGTACGAGGCTTTCCAAGGAAGTTAATGCCGAGGCATGTATTGGCGTTACCGCGTGTTAGAGACCTGGCATGGCCTGGTGGTTAAAGCGCTCGAATCGCAATCTGAGAGTCACGGGTTTGAATCCCCGTCACCAAACATGCTGGCCCTTTCAGCCGTGGTGGCGTTATAATGTGACAGTCAATTCCACTATTCCTTGGTAAAAGAGTAACCCAAGAGTTGGTGGTGGGTGGCGTTGACCAGCTGGCCTTTCCTCTAGTCTATCGCTGCTAAATTAGGGGCAGCTATCGCAGTTAGCCCTCGTATAGCTTTGAGCGAAGTTCAAACCAAACCGTATGTAAGGAAATGGTGTGATGTATTATCTGACACATTTGCTTCACAATTTAAACAGTTTACAGAAATATTTTGTGTGCAATGTCCATATCTAAATATTATTTGTTATAAATACCAACATCATATATTCAATTTCTCAGAAGTTTCTACCAATAATATATCAAATGTTGAATAGTATAGGTACACTCACTGGGCTAGTCAACATCACAGTCGGCACCACATCTACAGCTTGAATCCCCTTATCAACACTAACAAGTTCCTCGACACCTTTCTTACATCCACTATGAGTAATATCTTGACAAGAAATAATAAGCTTCCAGAACTAGTCTTCATATATGGTTTCCGAAGTTCAATTTTGTTTTTTTCATCCATCCCTACACTTTTAAACACGCTATCTCTGGTTACAGATTTGCAGCTCGACCTGGCATTACGAACCTTTGGTACGCAGCTTGTTTTTCTGACATACGCATCATTTTATTAACTCATCATGACATCAATGTTTTGTCTAAAGAGTCTGTGTTGATCTTGAATGCCTTTATCACATCCATTTAGGCCATCCACGTATTATGCGCTGTTTTTCCCATTTTTCACTGAATACTGACACCTGTCGTATGAAGAGAAGCCGTGAAACAAAAGAACCTTTGACTTGTCTGGAGCTAAGGTTCTTAGGCTGCGATGTTGTATACACTCTTTCCGGTTTCAAGTCCAATCCACATCATGTGAAGTTTAGTTGTTTGAAAATAGCCACAACTAAAACAACAACATGTATGCTCATAATTCTTATCATTGTTCTTTTATATCCTCTTTCTACTGCATCTTCCAGGTGAACCATCATCCTATTGTCAGCCTCTTCCTGACTGCGTGATGCAAGACTCTCGTTGTTGTTTCTAGGGGTTTACATAATACAACGTTTCCGTAGCTAGTTACTGATATTTATCTGTGTCTATCCGATTTCTACGACAAGCTAAAACTTCAAACATTTCTGTTTTGTAGTCATTCAGAACATCTTGCTAATTTCCAAAAGTGTTGTTGGAACCACCTACACGTCTTCTGGTGCAATTCCCTTGCTTCTTCTTTGTACTATTTCTCAAACTGTCCTTCACATGTGTATCCCACACTAAATCCATTCTCTGACCTAGGCGAAACTGCCACTGTATTGATGGAATTATAGATGGTGATGATTTCAAGAGTATTAACTAGGTTATCTTGATAAGTTCAAATATTGATTTTTATCTTCTTACCAGACGTTCCTCAACGTACTTTACTGACTCGTTCCTATTTCTTACACATTGCTGTTTCTGCTACCGATTTTTCAATAATATTTTAGCATTCATTATTAATAGAACAGGATTTTTTGAATAAATGTATCCTCCCCGTATGGGACAGTGGTAAATGTATGTACTTTGATTGTTATAATTCGGGGTTTGATTATTCGCGGTGGACAGAATGCAGATAGCCATTGTGAAGACTTGTATTAAAAATCCAAGAAGAACAAGACAATTTGATAAATGGCTCTAAAAACTTTTTAATCGCATTAACAAGTGCTATTACTTGGGGTTGGTTTCAAATAATTTATTCTGTTTCTGTCTCGAACATATTCTGATTCTCCAGACTCTTCTATCAGCCATTTCTGGCCACGTTACTGTGAACCTGCTGAGACCTACTGTGTTTTCAATAAGACCCATTGTCTCGCGTCATATTTAACTAGTATTATTCTGTTCACATATATGGCTGATTTCTATCCTTTAAAATTTGGTTGAAGTCTTATGTACCACAAAGTTTCCTTTTGTGATTTCTCCTATATTTCTGGGTTCATCTGATCACGTGTCTTCATATCACAAACATCGAGCGGGATGCAAAAAAAACATGGAATACTTCTTGACAGGGAATCTATGTATGTCCTAAAGTTCCCCTTCTTGGAGTATTGAATGAATAAAAACCAAGTAGTAATTCTAATTACACTGAATGCCTGCATCATTTCCATTTGAAAACGTCACGAAATTCCCGTTCGTTCCTTTCTTATTTGATCCCACTGATGTTTCACGATCTAGTTACAAATGGGTCCCCCGGTAGGACAGAGGTAGATTTATGGACTTACAACGCTAAAATTCGGGGTTCGATTCTCCGTGGTGGACACAACAGATAGTCCAGAGTGGCTTTGCTCTAAAACAAACAAGTTACAAACAAATAAGCTATTCAATATAATATTGAGTATTTAGCCCTCGTTCTTATATTACTGAAATTTTGACTTTGAACGGAAGTTGTATTTATAGGTTGTTATAAATGGGTAATATACTGTTTAGGTTTTTTTTATGTCTTTTTATTATGTATTCTAGACTATATCGAATCATCTAAGAAGCTTTCCTTATCTAATCTTGAGAAATTTACAGTTTCTTCGCCAAATATATATGAAAAATAACCAGAAGTTCAACACTTTCACCTTGTCCCGTTGTATCGTTTGTTATAGTCCAAGGAAAGTGCGTACATTTGGCATACTTATAAAAACAGCACAGTTTGTTTGTTTTGAATTTCGCGCAAAGCTACACGAGGGCTATCTGCGCTAGCCGTCCCTAATTTAGCAGTGTAAGACTAGAGGGAAGCAGCTAGTCATCACC